GGGGATTGGCTGTGCTCTGCATATTGCTCGATGCTGTATTGGTAAACGATTTAAGGATGGCCTTGAGATGCGCGCACTGAGGTCTGAAGGGCCACAACCGATAGTTCACCGGCCACCCCGGTAGCACGATCCATCGTGGGCGTTGACCTCAATTCAAATACATGGAAGATGGCAGTGAACTGACTGCTCAGACGTCGCGCATCTCCATCGCCCTCTGGTATCGTGTGGTCCTCGACCTGGCCTCCGTATCGTATGCTGAAGTCAGGCACGGCGGGGAATAAGGTTATGTCAAGCCATCCCGACCTGAATCATACAGCTAGAACGGGGAATTCCCGGACCCAAACATAGCCCGTCGGCGACGGAGAGAAAGGGTGCCGGAGAGTAGGACACGAGAGAAAGTCCCAGCTATTGAAGAACTTGATGAGTTATGTTACATTATGCTACTAATCACTCACTGCAAGTGGAGAAGTCGCACATATTGGCAGGCACGGTCTAGATGCTGGCAATGACGGAGGGTTTCGTCCTTTGCATTCTGCTTTCTGGTGTGGTCTTTCTAATTGTTCAGATGCCACCACGTTCGTGATGGTTGCCAAGCCGGTGGACGATCAATGCGAGAGAGTTTGCAAGTGTCGAGGTTTCATGGCATGGGCCCGTGAGCAGTTGGCAGGCCGCAGCAGCGTCCACAGGTAGTAGGTATCCAAGTGGAGGTCGAGCCCGTCCCGGGCATTGCGGTGAAATGTCGACTGGCTCGTGCGCTGAGCGCCAAGTCTTCTGACTAAGCCCGAGCACGAGCCGGGCGGAGGAGCAGGTGTCGTGGCGTCCGAGGCATTCACGAGGGTCCCGCCCAGTCCACCGGTCCACGGGTCTACGGATGTTTGCCATAAACAAATAGATAGATTCGGGATGGATTACGGGAGTTATAGAAAACAACATCGGCTTGAGAGGGTGAGGTAATCACCCATGCGCATGCGCAATCTGTTCTGGGATGTGGGAGTAACAAGCAGATACTGCAAAAGCGAGTCTCTAGCACCTTGCGATTCAAATCTCTTGACTGCATTTTCTGATAATGAGCATGTCAATAATCTCTAGCCTAGATTTCTCGTAGGCATTTGCAGTTGGACAATTTTGAACAGGCTGATGACAACTCCAGCCCGTATCAAATCGACCATGACGTCCTCCTGACCCGGTGATATCATTTCCCGGCAAAACAAGCAAAGGCAATAGTCACGCCCAAGGCTCTCAAGGTATGGGGACAGTGTTGGCCCTTCCATGGCAGAAAACCTGCGAAATCTACCCGAATAGCTACCTACTTGGACTGAGGTGGAGGGAAAAGGTGGTTACTGTCGTAATAGCACTTGCCTACGTACTTACCTAAGCTAGTCAATGGAGAAGGAGGGTGCCAGTGAGGGAGGCCATATGACCTGAGCAACCACAACCGAGCTGAGTTGGCAGCCCTCCAGCGGCAAGATGGCCAACTTCACCCAATAGTAAATCGCCAATGCCAGGCACATAGCCCTTCGAAAGGCAGGCACGGGCAGGCTACGTTAGTTGGTTAGCTGATGATGGGGGGATTCGTGAAGGATGAGGACCTTACCCAGCGTACCCCGGGTGTCACAGTGTGCATGTTGCAAGTTGAATACGGCATTTGTCGTCATTTTGCGAGCACGCCGCATGCATTGAATGACATCAACCAGTAAAAGTAAGGTAGGTAGGCGCGGACAGGACAGGACAAGGCCTTTCTCTATCGAGGAACCCCGAGACAGCTAGGGGGGGGGGGATGGCGAGACCGGGTGACTCTTTCCAGCCCACCAGTCAGTCTGCAACGCCGGATGACTGTCGCAGTGTCCTCCCCACGCCACGCCCCTTCCGGATTCCCTCTGATTGGGAGGAGCCATGGGTTTCGGCCCAAAAGCAGAGGAAAGTGCAGCAGGGACGGGGGGAAGTATTATCTGCTTTTGACTCCGCACATTCTGCATTCTGCAGCACTCGCAGACTTGCAGTCCCAAACAATGGAATTCGCGATTCGTCATACCTTATCCGTACCTATCCGTAGGCCATTTATCAACAGGTTCCACGTTACCTTGCCTTAAGGTACACCCCCCTCCCCCTCCATCCATCGCATCCACACGCCCCGAGCTTTATCATGGACCGTACCTACCTTATCAACGTATCAAGTGCACTATCATCCAGCTTTATCGCCCGTCTGTTCGCTAAGCCGAGACGATGAGCCCCCTTCCCGGTCAAGAGGCCACCACCAGCGCGTCTGACACTCATCTCGCATTACCTACATCATCTTGCTCGCGCCAGGTCCTGCCTTTACAGCCCAGGCGTGCGGTGTGCCTGCATCGCGACCAACCCACTCCGTCACGCCCTTTCCGTCTCATCTGAAGTTGGAACTCAGCCTGGCAAGCTTGGCTCCAGTCTCCAGATCCAAAAGTTGGGACACGCGCGCCTCCCCCATCCTCTCTGAACCATGCGCACTGTGGCTCGTCCAACCTACCTTACCTCCCATTGCCTTATCTGTCTTCCTTGCCTTACCTCAATGGAAGGCGCCTTACTAACCGTTGCCAACTATATCACATCCGTCATCCCGCGACCTTTGTCCATGCGAATTCCGTCTTTCTCTACCTCTTCATCTGTTTCCTGACAACTCCAACACGAACCTGGTTCTACCTTGCTACGAAATCTGTATCTGTATGCTCACCCCACTCTACGTGTACCTTATTCAACATTACCTGCGTCCGCCCAGAACTCGATCTCGACGCTACCTTCCGTCTCGAATCCTTGTTATCATCCTCGGCAACTCAGCCCTTCAGCTTTGTCCGGTGACTCACCCGGCCACTTCCGTCCGCCTTGGTGTGATTACCTCATCCAACCTGCCTCCTACTGCCCGGACCCTCCTCCTTCCTTTGGTCTCAGTCTACTAGTGCTAGGTAGCCACCTCCCCCGAGCCAGTCACCGAAGCGCTCACTGCTCCTTCACTTGCCCTCACATCGACTATATTTACTTGTCCCCTAGCCCCTTCCCCAAACTCTTTCGACACCTACTCCATATTCGAGGCTCTCTCCAGCCAGGCAAACGTTACCTTCACCCAAATCGGAAAGCGGTTTGACGACTGCTTACCTATTACGAATATCGATACTTCTTCCTCATCTACCTTCTCCACGTACCGTGCTCCGTCAACCTAGGCACCATGGCCGCTTCAATCGAATCTCCGGCCCAGTTCGAACGCGACCTTCGAAGCGCCAACCAAGATTTCAAAAGATCAAAGGATTCACGGTCCAAGTGGTCCAACGGAGCTCGTCCTCTGGCCGGGTGCCATCTCGACTGGTATACTCTTGACGCTGTTGGCGGAACTGAGCAACAGCGAGCCATGACACGGCCTCGGGCCAGAAACAGTGAGACGTACGCTTCCCCCTGAACGCTTGTAACCGTATATTCTAGCAGCACACCTAATGCTCGCAATAGTTCTCACTACAAGAAGCATATGCAGAACTTTAGCAAGTTCCGGTCACACTCGGAGTTCCCGCAAGGACGGCTGCGCTCGGCAGCTCGCGCCAAGGAACAGATCAAAGATCCTCTCAGCCGCTCCGTCATGAACATGGCGCCATCGCAAGACTTGTATGGAGACATTGCTGCCACTGAGGACTGGAAGTACAGCTTTGATCGTGTTGAAAGCCCCGGCCGACCAATGACTCTGGACATATTTGTCAAGACGACAACGGGTCGCGAGACGGAGCGTATGGTCGAGAAGGAGTACGAAATTCTTAATGAGAATGGTCAGGTTCTCAAGGGCCGCAAGGCACGCCAAAACCTACGCCAGGAAGGCGGCCGCGTTTCTGAAGAAGATGGTTTCCAGCTCGTCTAAAGTCGGCAGATGGACGAATCACGCCCGTGAGTGACTGTACGAGACGAGGACTGACTGGCATTGTTTCTGAGAATTCGGTTACCTGGGCGTTGGTGGATTGAGCTTGGCATGCATACTCCCCTACCTCGATCACCAAGCGGATCAGGCGGTGCCTCAATACAATTTGGGCGTGTAAGGGCGTTTCTACTCGGCGTTGGGTTGAGGGGATAGCGATATTGGCATCACCTCGGTTAGTTGGCATACGCATCGCAATGATGACAATGATGAATATTAACGCCTTCGAATTGTGCTCCTGTAGACAGCTGCCGCGCTTCCGTGATCCGTTGTCTTGTGGCTCTATAGTGCGGCTCTGTACACTTATGGATCAACTCACCCGGGCTGGGATCGGGATGGGAGCTCCCGACTCTGCAGCCGGCTCCGAGGTCTGTAATCATTTTTGGTTTACCTCAAAGGCTGTAGGATGAGGGTGGGCAAGGCGATTCGCAAGTTCGGAGTCGGCCTTCCATTGTTTATGATGAGATGGGGCTGTTGGTGATGATCCTTCGAGGCAATTGACGCCAAAAGCGGCTTGGTGCTTACGAACCGAGGTCCAATGGAAAGGTAGGTTTTCGTACGGATACAATACGGTAGTTATCTTTGTACAGTTACGCGGATACGTGAGCGGCAACCCACTACCCAGGACCGGCCGAGGACCGTGAGCCGTGGCTGATGCATGCGGCGGGCAGGGGCAGGCTCCATTCGCACTCCGCTGCGGCATGGGGGCTGGAGAAGAATGGTGGTGCCTAATTCAAACCCTAGTCTGACATTTCTGAGGTGATTTCTTTTTTCAGGGACTTTGGTCTTCACCTCTCGTCGGGTTCGAAAGGTAATACTTAATAGCGAGGCCCGGTGCGGGCTACTTTTGTATTCAGAGGGGAAAACTGATGACCATGCAGGTCTCTTCGTCACCATTCCCCTCTCCCTTTACCGCCTTATTGTTCTACTCCCAAATCTTCTCTTCACCGTGCCTCTTCCCTTTATGAACCAATTTCGAATAGTCTCTAATTACCCTAACGTTGACTCTGGCTTGATCAACCGCTGCCACACAATCCGCCACCTTCTGCGGTTCATCCGATCTAGCTGAGTGACCAGGTTACGCCTTGTACCGACCCACGCCCAAACCCACACCCACGAGCCATTTCAAAACTCCGCAAGACTTGACGATGGCTTCAACGCTGAATGATGGGCGATCAGTGGTGTTGCATTCTCGGTCACTACCAGCGCTGCCAACAGATTTTTCGGGCCCCTCGGAGTTGCCAGCAGAGCTTCCACCATTGCCACTGCCCCCAATGACAGTGAGAGCATCGCCGCCGCCTCCGGCACCGGTGCCGACATCTAGCATGAACGCAGCATCGTCCTCTTTTGTAACAGAAAAGGCATTGCTGGCAAATCGTTCTATTGATGATGACCTGACAACCGACAGCGCCAGTACCTCGGAGCCCCCACCATATTCAAGCCCCTCCAATAGCTCGGAGACGTCTGTTTCACACGATTCCCAAGGGATACACGGAATTCACAATTATACCGGTCTACCCAGGCTGGATTACAAGCTTTACTCACCACCAAATTTCACTCTATCGCCCGATTGTACCACCCTGTCGTCCAAGGCAGAGTATCTGACAGCGAGCGCTAGCGCGCTGATAGGGCTCGTCAGATCCCAGGCGAGCATCCCACCCAAGCCGTTGATACATATCAAAGGCAACCGTGGTCGCACTATTGATTTTGACTTCAAAATGAACCTTATGGGCCTGTTGGTGGCAGACGACATGGGCAAGCGTCTGGACTACATTCGGTGTGTTGCGCCGGGCGAGGTCGCGTTCCGTGGCGGCGCGAAGCCCGATGTCCTCCCCGAGGTGGGTGATAGGGAGCTGGATGAGTGGTGTCGCCGATTCATCGAGGATCCGGCGCCCATCAAGAGTTTTGGTGAGTTCGCCTTGCGTTACACGGTATGCGATTGGTTGAACTATGTCTAACCTGAAGCCCTCGCCTTGAAGCACTCGAACGAGTTGTTGCCAATCTAGACACGCTCTACATTGAGGGCCAGATTCGTAGTTTGATCGCCTCGACTCAGTACAAGGGGCAGATCAACATCTCGTTTCCCGTGACGCATGCCAAGGTCAAGGTCAAGAGTGCCGAGAAGCCGAGCAAGCTCTACATGGGCATGAAGAACCTTTTCACAAGCAAGCACAAGTACGAAGTGGTGCAGTCGGTGTGGCCCTTTGCGACGGCCAGGAACGGCGAGGAGGGTCGGAGGTGCATGGTGCAGAGTGAAGAAGTGTGGTGGCGGGTAAGTGCAGCTTCCCAAATGACATGCAGTGCCCTTGTAGAAGCTGTGGTCGCAACTATTGTCAACCTTGAGTTATTGACGATGTTTCTCGCAGGAATGGAGAGACTCAATCAAGTATGCCATGGCGCAGAAAAGGCAGAACGGGGCGTACGTGACGAACGAGGACAAGCTGGAGGCACTCATGGAGGGCAAGGGCAAGGGTGTGGCGTCCATCGACTGGGGAGGGACAGGACCCGAGCTTGAGGAACACGTCGTGTGAGACTCTCGCAGGAGTCGTGACGCATAATATCTCGCTTGGCCGGGGAATTGAGTGCGATTTTGTATGAATGATGATACCCAAATTTGGCGTTTGAGCCATATGGAGATTGTGTACTGCATTGCCTAAGAATGGCTGATCTGTGATTAGTTCTCGCGGTCTAACTAGATTCTGTACAAAGTCGAATGCAGTAAGTCAAAATTATAACTGAATAACAGGCTTCGGTATCGATTTTGTTTGGCACTTTCAGGATACTTCTATTTGGTAAATTTTCAAGATATCTATATGAATGTTCATTAAGCAGAAGGCAGAAAGTGAGAAAAAGAAAGAGAAGGTTAACGAGTGCAAGAAAGACACGGGCTCGCAGTGACATGAGATTGGTTTTGATCGAGTTTTTTTTTTACCAGTGAGTATCATCGCAGTAGATGCATAACTTGGCAAGTCTTGCCATGGTATTTAGCTGATATGAGCCTCATTCTACGCCAAGTACGAGGTTAACGATAAAGCGTTACTATGTACATACGGGGCAGGTGTGGTAAGGCAGAGAGGGCTTGCAAGGAAGCAGCAATTGGCAAATTGGCAGGGTCTCTTGCAGCTTGCCTCTTTCGGATGGAACAACCGACGACAGTGAGTCACCGCCCCGCATCGCCCCAGACCTGCCGCCTGCGCCTCTTAGGCCCTTCCGAACAGGTACCTACAGTAGTCTTGACGCTCCGGGACATAGGCAAATTTGCGATCCCGGTTTTTCGATCCATTGACTTGGGGTCAACCCATATGCTTACCTCCTAGTCAGCGCATCGAGACCAAAAGTCTCGGCAAACGGATACATGGTAGAGGTGAGTGGAAAGCGGGACGAGACTGCCCGACGCAGTGACACACTCGGCCAGTGACTCCCACTCCCCGCAATTACCTTAGCCTTAGCCCCGGTTACTCAATGAAGACATTCCCACAGTAATGCATGCTCCGTAAATGGGAAAGCTATCGTATAATTGCAGGGGTAGCCAGTCTCGTTCCATACTGAATACACCAATGGGATGCGGCCAAGAATCGGTTTGATTCAATTACCATGTTGGACTCAGCCTGCACATCTACGCAGTAAGCATGCACACCTACACTTACACGGACCTTGCCTCTGGCTGGAAGAGTCGAGTTTCTCACTTGGGCCGCTCAATACAAAAGCCATCGCAAGTCTTGTTCCTTTTTATTACATGTAGGCAATCTCGATCGTCGAGTAAACATAGCATCCTCGTATAATTCCGCTGGGCCCATTACCAATCGACACAAGAATTCTACCCCTTTCCTATCAGATTGGGCTCGCGGCATTTCAAACCATTCACTATCTACACATCTATCCTTTTACGAAAACTACTGGCAATCAAAGCCATTACGGAAACCAAGAGACCAACGCCCATGGAGTTCAGCGTCTCATCCACACACGACACGGCTCTTTGCCTCATTCCACCAAGGGAACAGTGGCCATCAATTGACCGTCTTCGTTTCCAAAATGACAAGGCCTACGCAAAATGGCCACCTCACGTCAACCTCGTTTACCCATTCACGAGGTCTGCAGATTCGGAGTCTCTGCATCAAGCTTCCGATGCCATTGTCAACTCCCTCAAGGCTCTTCAGGAGACTGGTGACCTCGCTAGCATACCCCTTTCCCTCGACTCACCAGACTATTTTGAAAATAAGCACGGCAGCACTCTGTTTCTGTGTGACAAGGACGAAAAGAGGACTCGTCGCCTTGCTTATTTACGCACCACGGTTCTCACGGCTATCGGCCAGACGCGTCTTGCTCCATACCACATGCACATGACGATTGCTCAGTGCGAGGATACGGCAGGACCATCTAAACTCAATTTCCTCCTTGGGAAGCTACGACGCCTACAACCGGTCAGTTGGGAGGTCACCCAACTGGCCGTTCTAGTTCGTCTTTCTTCCGGTCAAATGAGCCTCTGGGGTCTCATTGACCTTGTTTCGCCTTCGCTTAGTCAATGCGATGATTCGTTTGGATTATCTCCTAAGTTGGCCTCTGCCGTTATCCCTCAGCAATCATGGAGATTCTCCAGCCGGGAGTTGGGGTGGCGGCCGGCCTCTTCAAACACATATTCACATCACCCAGAGATCAAGGCAGTGGAGAACCTCATCGTCGCCAGCTGGAACGTTTTGGCAGAGTTCGAATGGCCCCCATCTCGTAGCAGATACCCCGTCATCATTGACAACCTACTCGCACGAAATGCCGTTGCAGACATCTTGGTACTCCAAGAAGTGACGGACGACTTCTTACCATTCTTACTCAATGACGACAGAATTCGCAAATTGTACCCCAATGCCTCCCACGGGTCTCCTGACGACCCCAATGCCGGTCCATTACCCAGCATACTCAATCATGTGGTCCTCAGCAAGCACCCATTTTCATGGGAGTATCTTCCCTTCCTACGCCCGCACAAGGGATCATGCGTAATCAGCTTCGGTGATCTGGCACACAGCGAAGGAGAGGAACCTACTTCTCCTTTAGTACTGGCAACTTGTCACCTGAGCCATGGTCTGACAGACGGCGCTGTGGTTACAAAGGAAAGGTTAGCTATAGCATACCGCCTGACCTGATCTTCTACCTGTACTAAAATGTCCTCTTTAGAGAACTCCAGGTATTACTAAGTCACCTCAAGTCCAAATACGCTTCGCATCAATGGATCATCGCGGGTGATTTCAATATCACAACATCTTCCTACACTATCGACGCCGCCGTCAAAAAGGGGGCCATCACGGTCCAGACAGAGAATGTCCTCCGAAGCATCGAAACAACTTTGGCAAAGGCCGAACTCCTCGACGTATGGATGGTCTCGCGCATCGAGGCCGGCGTGAGTGATAACTTCAAAGGGGACCTCAACCAGATGTTCGAGGGCGAGCAAGGAGCAACTTTTGATCCTACTGCAAACCCCCACGCCAGCAAGATGGTTGGTACCGGATTGGGTAACCGACCCCAACGGTACGACCGCATTTTGGTCAAGGGTACCTGCTCTTTCCAAATATCTCGCTTCAACATGTTCGGCTTCGTCACTGGCGACGGCGAGACCGGACAAGAGCCCCTGTACCCGAGTGATCACTGGGGTGTTCGATGTCTATTGCAGCGCTCTCACGCAAAGGATGCCGCCAGCGATGCGCGGGCGATTCCTATCAATATTAAGAGAGCGCCAGACGGTTTGTCAGATACCACAGAACTTACTAAGTGCCTGGAGAATCTTGAGGTGTTTCCCTCGGCGGAAGATGAGACAGCTCGGAATGAGGCTGTTCAATTGCTTCGTCAAATTTTAATCGAGTCCGACCAGCCACTCGTGGACAACAAACGAGGCCGTCCGACAATTGTGCTCGTCCCCGTAGGATCCTATGGTTTAGGCACGTGGTCCAGGAACTCCGATATCGACTGCTTCTTCATCGGATCCATCAGTCCCCGTGTCTTCTTCACTCTGACCAGGCAAAGACTGAAAAAAGCAGGTATCCCTGGTATTCGGCTTCTAAGGAAAGTCAAAGCCAAGACCGGCACAATGCTCGAGGTGGAGGTTCTCGGCGTGAGATGCGATCTCCAGTATTGCCAGGCACCCAACATCGCGGACGAGTGGCCTGACGTTCTGAAGCGTCCCGCGTCAGATCCAGCCTTCAGCTTGTCTGCCCAGACACTGCTGAAGCTGAAGCCCGCGAGAGATCTATTCTATCTCCAGCGATCCGTTCCAGACTTGGCCCAGTTTCGGTTGAGCCACCAAGCTATCAAGACTTGGGCCAAGGCGCGCGGAATCTACGCTGCCAAGTTTGGGTATCTTGGGGGCATCCACTTGACCGTCATGTTGGTTAATGTCTGCAAGGTGCTTGTACACAATGGCGGCACCGTTTCTGCTGCTGATATCATTACGACCTTCTTCGAGCATTATGCGCGGTTTGACTGGCTAAAGGACATGGTATTCGATCCATTCTTCCACAAGAACCTTAGATATCATCGAACAAGCAGAGAAGCCCTGGTCTTGCTCGGGTGGCACTCGCCAACGCTTAATACGGCACTCAACGCCTCCGTCCCGACCGTCAAGATTATCTCAACAGAACTCCGCCAAGCTAACAAGTTGCTATCTGCTGACGGAGCAACCTGGGAATCGTTGCTACCGGTGCTAGAGCCCGGCCGAGATAACGTCATGACGCCTAGCGCCGCGAACTTTCTCACGTCGTTCCGGTCCTTTGTGGACTTGCGTGTACATTACTGGGGAGCATCTCTAGAGCGTGGCAGTAGGCTCATTGGCTGGCTGGAGTCTCGATGTGCCTCTCTCCTTGTCGGTAAGTAGCCTGCGAACCCTGTCCCCATTTCTACGTGCTGCTTGTTTGCTGACAACACCCATAGATATCAACAGAAGAGTCCCGCAGCTTTCGGCGAGAATTTGGCCCGCGAGATTTGTCGACGCATCTACGTGCGATCCCCAAAACAACCAAGGCGATTATCAAGGCTCTTACCTCGTCGGTCTGGAATGGATGGAACCGGACGAGAAGCCAGGACGGGGCGACCTGGAAGTTGCACAAAGCAATCTTAGGGCTGTTTTGCAGCAGTTCGAGAAGATGATTCTGAGTGACGAGAAGTACTTCGATTCCACTACATCATGGTTCTGCGCGAGCATTGTAAAGACGAATGAGCTAGGAAATTTGCGATTGGATGATCGCGAATGGGGTGTGTACATCGACGGCGATGACGATTCGGATACAGAAGACGAGGATGACACCGAGGACGAGAATGAGGAAGAATTGGCCGCGCAAGAGAGGCTCGCCGCCGGAAAGCTGAGCAAGAAGGCAAAAGCAGCGAAACAGCGCTCAGTAACAGCCAATCCGAAGCCCGAGGGGATAGGCAAGTTTCGCACGGCGCTTGATGTGCTGAACCGACTGCGATGGGATCCCGATATTGACAGCAATGACTACGTCATCGGGTACGAGGACAGATTCCTGGGACCACAGGAGAAGGCACTGTCGGCCTGGAAGAGCGAACAGACGCACGAGGAGTTCATCCCTCAGCATCGAATCTTGTGGTTCAAGCGCGGCAGCGACGGGGTGATTGTGTGGCACAGGTCAGAGCGCATCGATTTGCTCTTCAAAAAGGCTTGATTTTGGCGCCTGGGCTTGTGCTGAAGCCGGTAGCCAGATTCGGGGACATATGGATATGGTGCTTCCTACACAATGTAAACCCTTCGTGTGGATAGTTACATCGTTAGTCAAAGCTGCCTTCGGCAGAAAATAACCATACTTGTCAAGGCCTCTCGTGTTCCTCATAAAGCTCTGTGCCTTCTCATTGTACGCTGATATAGTTGAAAATGCTAACACCAAAGCCGCTCCGATTCATCTTCGGAACGAGAGGTGAGATGCAGTATAATGTTTTGAATGTACGAGAAGCATTGCCAATCCATGACTTGGTATCCGCCACCGAAACGCCCTGCCAAACTTCCAGAACAATGCTAAATAAATAAATGGCCGATAAACCAGCCAGAAACCGCAACCGTGAATAACTCAGCGGGTGACATGTAAGGATACACAAGGTCCTTTCAATAGAGCGTCATGAAGACAGCGGCAATAGCAGACTTGTCGTATTTGACATATTTGCCCTTGCCCTTGTCAACCTCGTGGTAACGGTCCCAGAACCGGTTGTAAAGGGGTTCGAGCATCTGCTGAATATCTCTTGCAAGCATCTGGCGTACCTCCCTTTCCATGTTGTACGTCTTGTGCCGGCTCACCATCTCATCAAAGGAGGCGTTGAATGCCTGGAACTTGCTCTTGATGTTATCCTTGTCCTTGCTGCTAAGGCCCTTGAGAATTGAGGCAGAATCAGCCTGTCCGGACTGAGGTCTTGCTTTGCTCGTGTGGATGACATCGAACAAGTGAGTTGAGACCTCTTTGCAATCCATCGTGTACATGCCTGTTGCTTTCTTGCGCCATTGGTCTAGCATGCTCATCCGACCCTCAAGGAGTGGCGCAAGGTCAGAATCGCGAATCATTCGTTCAATGATGACAACGCTGTTAGCCAGGAAGACGCCGATGACAGCTCGGCCACCCTTGAGGACCATCTTGGCCTTTGAGTCCAGTCCTGCCATGAGCATCTCGACTGTGTCTGAGCAGTAGTGTGAGAAGATTTCTTTTCCGTCTGCGCCAATATCAAAGGAAGCAAGACTAGGGATTGCGTCGGTCGATCGTCCATCGGCTGCAGCATTCGACCTCCATCCTCCGTCGCCTAGAGAGAACATGATACTGGAGACAGGCCGCAGGAATTCGACCATGGTCTGCAATCGCTGCATTGTGGCCGATACAACGGGTATCGGTGCACCGTCTTGTGGAAGTGTCTGCATGCCGGCAATCTTTCGTTTCGTGTCATCCAACAGCTCTCCCAATGAAAGCTTCGCAGTCTCTCGCACAGGCCTAAGGGCTGAGGCAAGTGAAGACTTTAGCTCGCCTGTACGCGTCTCCAGGTTGCTCGAGAGACCAGACATGATCTCGGTGATCTCGTAGGCGAGGTAGCAGTCTGTGTCCAAATGCCCCTTGATGTGGTTGTTCAGTTCGCGAAGAGTACGTGCAAGTTCGGCCATAGCGCTCTGGCACGTGGCTTGGAAAAGGGGGCCCCAATCTTCACGGGTGAAGATGCTGCAGATGTTGTCGTACTCGGCCAAAAACGCGCCTTCCATGGCCTGCGCGTATGTACCGATGCCATTGGTGCCTGCGCGGTAGATGGCGTCGGGGTTTTTCTTCTTCGTCGTGTTGACGCTGGCAGCAGCCAGGTTGGCCAAGGTAGAAGAAAGATAGGGCCCTCGTACTTCAGCATAAATCTTGGCAATGGCCGAATCTTGTGGGGCAGCAGCAGCACCAGCATTCTGGCGATGGGTGCTTGAGATGTACGAGTTGACTAGGCCGAGGCGTGTCACCTTGTCTTGTGACAGTACAGGGAATGGCATGTCTTTGGTGATGTAATGTAGCGGTTCAATCGATCGTGGGGTTTCTCCTCGCAACAATCTGTCGAAATGGCCCTCGAGTTGAGAGTTGCCTGACTTGATTAAGCGGACAAGCTCAGCCATTGTCTGTTGGTTTGCCCGGAGGTTGGAGGCCTGCATGTTTTCAAGTGACTTGGAGAGGCGCTTGATTGAGGCGAGGTAGTTGGAAAGACCAGCCTTGTCCGGGCCGGCACGTATGATCTGTTCTTCGTCATTCTTACTATCGGCGGGCTGACGGAGGCGTTCGATGGCTGCGAGGACAGAATCGATGTCTGCGAGTGAGGGAGCTAATGTCAGCTGAAGCCCTGCTAGGCATGAGCGAGAATAGACTTACTGTTGCCCAAGACCTGGAGCTTCTTCGTTTCTCCACTGAGAGGACCTGCTACTTCTTTGACGCTCTTGCCGGTGGACTCCAACCTTCCCATGCATGCTTGGATCTTCTTGGTCAATTGAGCCGTCTTCTCGAGTCGCGAGTTGAGCACATCAACCTCTGCACGAGCTTCTTCGTCGGCATGGCGACTGGTCGCAGGCCCGACAGACATGGTGTGCGTCCTATCAGCTGATACTGCTATAGCACTTGCAAGTTGCGGCCAAGCGTGGTGAAGCAAGGAGTGTCGGAATTGGAGACCGCAGGGAATTGAAGTGTAGGACCGGACCGTCGTCAAGCGCTGTGGGAGTCGTGGGAGGTCGAGAACCGGACGAAGTAACGACTGCCGGAATTGCAATATCGCGTCACCGGTGTTCAATTCCGCGTGCCTTGGGAAGGATTACCCACGAGATCGTGAGATGGCTGGCTCAAAGAAGGTCGAGTGGTCTTCGAGGATACATTGGCAGGCGGCTGGACGGGCGGGGCGAGAGCTTTGTGCGGGAGTGGGACGGTAAAGGGAAGGCGCGTTGTACTCTTGCGGGCACTGGCTGTGTCAGACGCACCCGAATGCGCCCAAGCTGATCAGATGAGGTACGTGTGGTTCTGATATGCTGTCGCCTGTGTGTTGAGAGCAAGTAAGTTCAGGAACCTGGGGGTTGGATGAACAGTTGGGATGGATTATGTCATCCCATGTTTGGAGTGCCGCCCTTTCATGCCTCCAAGGCCCCGATACCTTATCGAGTATCCGTACTTGACTTCACCTCTGCAACTCCAAAGAAGGTCCACGAGATCACCATGCATCGCGACTTATTTCACATCGACTTCTCTCATGACCGGAGTTGAATTTCAATAACTTCATCCAGTTCCTCTGTTTTATCATTCAGTACCCATGTGGGGTATCGTACGTTGCCAGAGAAGTCTTTCCTTTCTGCTCTCGCAGAGTGCACATGATTCGCAGAATCCGTAGCAGCAACAACGACCAAGTCAATCAAACAGCTGACTCAGACTGCTTCAGTCTTGCGAAGTATCCCTTGATCAGCTTCACCACCGTGTCGGCAATGAACTCAACGTCGCTCCGTGTCACAGTATACGGTGGCGCCACAATGATGTGATCGCCCAGAACGCCGTCCATAGTTCCCGCACCAGGGTAAACCACAATGCCGTATTCCTCGGTGCGCCCAAGATCGCTCATCTCCGTTGCCACCTGTGCTTCTCTGGGCCAAGGTTCCTTGCTCACCTTATCCCGCACAAACTCGATGCCCCAAAAGAGTCCCTTGCCGCGGACATCTCCCACACAAGGCTCGTCCTTGAGGCCCCCTCTCAAGAGTTCTGAAAGCAATTGGCCCATGGCTCGTACGTTGACTAGGAGACCATCCGACTCAATGATATGCTGTACTTCGAGTGCTGCTGCGCATGCAATAGGGTGACCTTGATATGTGTGTCCATGAACGAAGCAACTGTACTGCGTCAGTGTGGCCCCTTTCACCATCGGGACACTCCCAGACACCACCTCATGGACCTCACCTGGAACCCCTCTCCAACACATCAGCTACTCCCTTGTTGACTAGGACGCCGGCAATCGGCTGGTAACCCCCGGCTAGGCCCTTGCCAATAGTCTGGATATCGGGTACTACCCCTTCACCCTCCCAAGCATGAAGAGTCCCAGAGCGGCCCATGCCGCTCATGACCTCATCCATAATAAGTAGGGCACCATGTCGATCGCAAACTGCCTTAACAGCCTTAAAATATCCGCTCACTGATGGGACACAACCCAGAGCCTATGCAGAAATGTCAGTCGACCTCATCATGACTGACGCTACTTTGCGCTTCTTTGGCAGATCGTCTTACGGCCCCAACAACTGGTTCTGCTACAAAAGCGCACACGTTCCCGGGTCCTACCCGGGTAAACTCATCGTCAAGCTCCTGGGCAAGACGGGCCACATATGAGTCATCTGATTCCCCAGGCGCTTTGCCTCTGTACTCGTAACATGGAGACACATGAGAAACGATATTGTCGAGGAGCATCGGCGTAAATTTGGCTCGACGAGAAACGTGACCACCCATAGAGAGTGCGCCGAGAGTTGTTCCATGGTAAGACCTTTCTCGAGCAATGAACAGATGCCTCTGCGGTTCTGGCGTATCCTTCTCTAGGAAGAATTGCCTTGCAAGCTTCATCGCTGCCTCCATAGCCTCGGACCCTGACATGGTTAGCAATCAATCGGTACTGACGGAGTTGATCCAACATACCACTGCTGACTAGATAGGCTCGTGACATCCGACCGCCGGTCGAATCGACGAGGAATTGGCAAAGTTTCTCGCAGGTGGGAGTTGTGAAGAATGTCGAAGGACTATATGCGATGCTATTGATCTGCCTCACCATAGCGTCTGCCACTCTCTTGTCACCATGACCGATACAAGCGACGGCAGCGCCTCCAGAAGCGTCCAAGAGTTTCCTGCCGCCTTCTACAACATAGTGGTGACCTTCGCCGCCAACGATGCGTGCGAACTGACCCCGTAGATCTCGATGGAGCACTGGTGAGTGGCTCGCATCAGTGAACTCTACGGTATCCAGGGGTTTGAGAACCATTGCAAGTGAGGCACGATATACGTTGAGGCACGGCGTATTGGTAGAGGTCCGTAAGCAAGATCTGGATGATAAAGGGATTAGAGCGGTGTAAGCAGAAGACAATACAGGCAGGCCAAGGTTCGCGTCGAGCCTTTAATACTGTTCACCTCCCATCTCACGAAGCTCCTCTTCACAGTTG